GAGGATAAATGGTTTCTAAATGGGACTCCCCTGGTTAGTTGGAGCCTGGTTCACACTGTGGGTGAGGGGCAGGAGGCTGCTCATAGGACTGGTGGGGGTGTAGGATGGGGCTGAGGTCCTTGGGGTCCACAGCTACCCCTTCAGGAAGCTGGCTCCTGCTTCCATCGACTAGACCAGGTGCCGACCAAGGGAAGGATTTCTCTGAGACAAAGGATCCTGTTTAAGGTTGAGAGTAGCCTGGAATACTCACAGCTGCTACTCACCTACAGGGACAGAGGAACACTCCATCCTCAACTGTCTCAGGCCCTGGGAATGGAAACACTTGCCCTCCAGCTCCCCAGGCACCCCCCAGGCTGTCTGCACACCCCATTGCATCTTTATCCCAATCTTGCCCTCCAAGCTCATTATCAGCTGCGAGCATCTGCGGCCAGGAAGGCAGACATGAGGGTCCTGCTGTGTGGGCCAGGGGACCCTGGAGACCCTTCCCTTCATCTGCTGAGTGTCCAGCCTCGTTTTAAGTGATCTACTTCCTTTAACAGACTCAGCGTGTTCGGCAGCTCAAGGTGAATGACTCCCAGCTCCACCCAAGCGCTGCTAGAGGCTGGACCAGGGCCAGCCAGCCCCTCCCTCGGTGATTAACTGGATAAACTACCAGGTTTGCCCTGGGGTTTAGAACCGCAGGGAGAGGGCAGATTCTAGACACATCTTTCTTTTATTTATTTATTTTTTAATGCCTGAGCCCTTGAATATCTTATGTAAGTTTGGTTAACTGGGCTTATCTGTCTCTTGCTACTATGACAAACTCCTTTCTGGAATTCCAGGGAAGGACAGACCAAGTCAAAGTAAGGATAACAAGTCACTTCCAGAGGGAAAGGGCTCACTTGTGGGGAGGTTAGCTCCCAGATATAGCAGGACAAATATTTTCCTGAGTCTGGCCACAACATAGGCTATGGGACTCCAAAATTAAGTCTTTCAACCAGGTGGTGGTGGCACACGCCTTTAGACCCAGCACTTGGGAGGCAGAAGCAGACATGAGTTGAAGGTCTCCAGAGTGAGTTCCAGGACAGTCAATTCTGTTACACAGAGAAGGTGAGGTAACTGTTATTTTGCCTTGAAATCCTGGGCTTCAATGATTTTCTTGTTTCAGCCTCCTGAGTGGCTGGGAATACATGGTCTCAGCTCAACACCAAGATTCAATGTTATCTAAAAACTCCAAAGCACTGGGTGTGGTAGAATATACAAGTAATCCCAGCACTCAGGAGGCAGAGGCAGGGGGATTCTCAGTTTGAGTTCAGTGTGGTCTACATAGTGAGTTCAGGTCAGCCAGAGTTATATAGTGAGATGCTGTCTAAAACCAAACCAAAACAAACACAAAACAAACTCACAGCATCAAGAGTCCAGAGAAATTCTTTAAAATATATTTATAAATATATTTATTTTAGATTGTGTGTGTGTGTGTGTGAGAGAGAGAGAGAGAGAGAGAGAGAGAGAGAGAGAGAGAGAGAGAGAGAGAGAGAGAGAGAGAGAGAGAGAGAGAGAGAGAGAGGGAGGGAGGGAGGCCCTGGGTCCCCTGGAGCTGCAGTTGTTGCAGTACGCTGTTTGATGTGGATGCTGCCAACTGTTCGGGTCCACTGGAGGAGCAAGTGATGTCAACCGCCACACCATCTCTCCAGTCCTTCAAGCAAAGGCTTTGAAAAGGAAATGGAAGCAGCGAGGTATGTAAATAGTGTGGGGAAAAGAACCTAAAGGGGTTATGGAGGAAGGAGATGAAAAGTTCCACGAAGTGCTTCCACTGGACACATGGCTAAATAGTAAATCTTCATCAAGTGTGGTGGCATATGTCTGAAATCCCAACATTGCGAAAGTAGAGGGGTATGGGTCAGGAACCCAGCTACACAGCGAGTCCAAGGCCAGCACGGACCACACAAGACTTCTTCCATCTCCCACACTTCTGCTGGGGCGATGGGAGGATGCTCGGTGCAGCCGTCACAAGAGATGGGCACTCTGAAGCAGGGCGTTGGTGGCGCACGCCTTTAATCCCAGCACTCGGGAGACAGAGGCAGGCAGATCTCTGTGAGTTCGAGGCCAGCCTGGTCTACAGAGCGAGTTCCAGGACAGCCTCCAAAACAACACAGAGAAACCCTGTCTCGAAAAAACAAAAACAAAAACAAAAACAAACAAAAAAAAGAGATGGGCACTCTGACGTGCTACCCGGAGTCAGCGTGAAATGGGGAGGTCCCAGAGCATCACCGCCTCAGTGGGACAGGACGCAGGGTCGTGTGGAGGATCTCCATGATCAGATGGGCTCCCCTTCCTGAGGGCCATGAGTTAGACACATGTGGGGACCCTTGAAACACTGAGCACCGATCCAGGCCAGACCCAAGCTGTCTGCTGTTTTCTGAGCCAGTGACTCATGTAGCCCAGCTTGGCCTCAAACTTCCTGCTGGCCCAGGATGACCTTGACCTCCTGGTCCTCCTTCATCAGAAGCCTGAGTGCTGGGATTATGGGTATGTGCCATCCCACCTGCCGTATATGCTGCTGGGTGAGACAAACACAGTGTCAATTGAGTTACATCTCAGGAGCTCCCTCCCCTTAATAACCCCCGTTTTCTGAGACCGGGTTTCACTGTGTGCTTTGGCAGACTTGAAACTGTCTTTATAGATCAGGTTGGCCTCAAACAGAGATCCACCACACCCCTCTCCCCTTCTGAGGAGAGGTCTTGTGTAGTTCAGACTGGCCTGGAGCTAACTACATAGCCAAAGATGACTGAACTCCTGATTCTCCTACTTCTGTCTTACAAGAGCTGAGACCACAGAGATGTGTGAACGTACCCAGCTTTTTCTTTTCTTTTTTGAGACAGAGTATCATTGTAGCCCAGGATGACCCAGAACCCACCTCAATCCTCCTGCTTCAGCCTCATGATTACTGGAACTACAGGTGTGTGTCACTACAATTGGTCCATGTGATACTGAGGCTCAGACCCAGGGCTCTGGTAAGCTTAGTACTACTAACCGAGCTACATCCCCAGGCCAGGCCATAAACACTTAGGAAACTTCATGCTCCCCTCCCTCCTCCTCCTGTCTCCTGGGAAGGGCCCCAGCAATGCCAGCTTTGAGAGAGAAACCAGCTCAACTCACCCACCAAGCTATGAAAAATCTTTATTGTTTTCTTTTTCTCCATTAGATAGACTCTCCGTTAGAATAAGAAGCCACAGGACACTTGCACTTCCTCAGAGGGAGAGCCCGGCCGGTGCTTAAGAGTGGGCTGAGAACCACTGCTAGGACAGAGGCCACGCCACCACCGGGGCTTGGCTTTGAGGGAATCACAGGAACAACCGAAGGCGTTGAGAGTCGACTTTATACACTCTCCCGAGTGAGGGGAGACCGCAAAACCCCATTTCTGCCCAGGAGCTCAGCCACACTTCCAGGCCATGCTGAGTTGGTAGAGTTTGTCTGTGTGATCTCACACTGTGCCTGCGTGTGTGTGTGCGTGCGCAAACACACACACACACACACACACACACACACACACACACACACACACACTGCTGCTCTCCAGGAATGATGCCCCCGGACCTTGCTGGCCAGGCAGGAATCTGTGGGTGATTCTCCACTGTCCTCGACAGTCTTGGCATGTTACTGTCAGCTAACAGTGACCAGTGCTGGAGGACATGGGCCTTACCGGAAACAATTGAATTCTGGAACAAGGCTGGTCAGTCCAAACCAACAATGAGGCACCCGAGGGCTTGGTCTCATGACACTGGCACTGGGCTCCTGTACACTCCCTGACACAGAGAGGTCTAAAGCCTCGTGAAGATGCTCCAGTCACTCACCATTTCTCCAACTCCCAGAAAAGGTGTGGTAGAGGTGGGGGGGAGCTCCCTCCCCAGGAGCTGCTGTAAATGTGACCCCGAGGGCTAGCCTGGGGTGCTTACTGAAGGCCTAGCTGGCTCCTTGTGGCCTTTCCCACACAAGCCATGCTACTGTCCGGTTGAGGCTGGCCTGGAGAGACATGGTGCAGGAAGGCTTAGGTTCAGCTAGAGCGCACCTGCAACCCCACACCTACCTCCCCCTGGCCATGGGCCCTGGGAAGCCCAGCTAGGTTGATGCTTGCAGCCAAGGTCGCTGGGGTTCTGGGAGGGAAACTTGGGTATCTGCTTGGGTAAAGATCCCTCTTAGAGGGCCGGGCGTTGGTGGCGTTCGCCTTTAATCCCAGCACTCGGGAGGCAGAGGCAGGCGGATCTCTGTGAGTTCGAGACCAGCCTGGACTACCAAGCGAGTTCCAGGACAGCCTCCAAAGCCACAGAGAAACCCTGTCTCGAAAAACCAAAAAAAAAAAAAAAAAACCAAAAAAAAAAAAAAAAGATCCCTCTTAGAGCCTTCAGGAACTGGTGATGCTAAGTCCTGAGGAAGTGAGATGCAGCAGGGAGCAGAGAGGAGAGCTGCCAGCCAGTGTTAGCATGGGCCCCAGCCAGTGCTCCTGTGTTAGCATGGGCCCCAGCCAGTGCTCCTGTGCTAGCATGGGCCCCAGCCAGTGCTCCTGTGTTAGCATGGGCCCCAGCCAGTGCTCCGGTATTTAGCATGTACTGGCCAGGGAGAGATCTGCACAATCCTTCTCGCCCCAGGAAACTGGCTAGCTGCCAACTCTTAGAACTAAATACATAAATCTTGCCTCCTGGTCACCCCTGAGCTCTGGGCTGCTGGCTCAGGACAACACAAAGCTCCTGGGGGCTGGTTTCTAGCTGTAGACCCTACAGGGTCCCCGGGGTCCCTTTGCCGGTGGAGGCAGATGTGGTCATTAAAGCGCATGCAATCTCCAGGTGTACCCTTAGGCCTCAAATAAGCAGCAGAGTGGAAGTAAGTTCATGGCAATGGGCGGGAGTCAGGGGTGAACCAATGGGAAACCAAATCCACATATTGACTGCCAATCAAATTCAAACACAAACCCAATACGTGAAGGCAGCAGCAAGCTCTTTGTGTAATAAATATTGCAAAGCTCATTTCGTTTCTTTCTTTTCTTTTTTCAAGTCAAATATAACAATCAATCTCCCCAAACCCTGTTTTCTGCATTCAGAATAGAGGAAGTTGGTGATAGGAGCAGAACACCTGCAGCCAATCAAAGAAAAAACCATGTCCCACAAGCCAGCCAATCACAATCTTTTTCCAGTTTAAGCAGCCAATCGGGCCTCTTCATGTTCCTAAAAAAAAAAATGACCTAAATAAAGCACCAGAGCTCGGAGAGCTTCCGGGGAAGCCAGCTACCGAGGCCCAAATCTTTAAAAAAATAAAGAGTCAGAAATAAAAATAAAAGGTTTCCGTTGGTCAAGATTTAAAAATAAAAAGATTTCTTCCGGCAGCCAATCACAAGTCCATCCCTTAAGCCAATCACAAACCACCACTGGCATCCCCCTTGATGCCAGCTCTGCTGAGTGGCTGGGTGGGGAGCTGAGGGAGCAGAGGGAGGGAAGAAGGTGGTTTGCTCCCCCTCAGCCGGGAGAGGAGCCCCACAGATCTCGGCCTCGGCAGCTTTCAGGGTGTTTCCAGGGGCTTTCGGCTACTGCCTCCGGTCTTCCGTCTCCGACCTGGAAAACGCCATCACCACGTCCTCCGCACCTGCAGACCAAGGAATGAGAATCGCTGACGGCTTGTGGCATCAGGACAGGGCAGAGAGGCTACGTTCACCGTGGGATATCCCTCTTCTGCTTTCCCACCCCTGGCAAAACAGTGCAGAGTGCCTCAAGGGGCCGGGGAAGTCTTTCAGTTGAGAGGCAGAGTGCAAAAACCCCTGGATTTAGTCCCTAGCACCACACGAACTGGGTGATGTTACTGATCCCAGTACTCAGGGTGGAGGCAAGGGGATCAGAACTTCATGGTAGCCCTTGGCTACATCAGTGCCAGCCCTGGGGTACATGACAACCTAAATAAAACAGGGAAGGAGAAGATAAGTGCTTCTAATTAAGCCCACGTCCCCTCTTGTCTTCCTGCAGCCAAGCTGGGGACACAGCAGTGAGCCAGAGGCTAGTTCAAGGCCACACTGCTAAGACCTGAGACAGTGTTTGGTCCTGGAGCAGAGCTCTGTTCTGCTTATGTTCCTTGCTCCAAGGGTACCACAGCAGGGTGAGCAGTAAGATTTTCTTGGGAACCTCTACTTTTCAAGGTTAGACCAGCATTCTACCCAGTGACCACCGAGCTGCCTTTTCTAAGTGGTGGTCCAGCATTCTACCCAGTGACCGCTGGGCTGCCTGTGGCCCTTCTGGCACACCTTCCTGCTGCGATACTGGAGGCAATCTCTCTGGAAGGCGCAGATCGGAACAGCAGGGACAGGAAAAGGCCTCCAAGGATTGGGTTGGGTGGGGGTGGGGTGCAACAGGGCCTCTGGCACTTGGACTAGAGTCAGCATAGTGTTGGCTATCCTTGTCCACACCACAAGGGAGTGCTTCCTACACTCTTTGCTGCCAGGAGGAGCCAGGAGGCACCTCAGGAGGTGCTGCAGAAAGGCGGCCCATGTGAGTGCGTGCCATCCGGAGGTCCTGCCTTTGTATTAGCACAGCGGTGCTAAAGGAACTTAATCTATCACCTGGCCACCGGCTTCTGCCTTGGGGATCTGCTTATCAGCATTCTTGAGAGGAAGACCTCTGGGAGAGACACCTTTGCTTGAGAAGCCCCATGAAGCCTTTCTGTTTTCTCGGAACGTTCTGTTCTCACTCCAGTCGGGGACCACGCACTGTCACTGCAGGCAGGATTGTCCTAGCAACCACAGACTCCGGGTTACATCACACTCCACACGGTGGATGAGCTGGGCACCTAACAGATGCTGGTTTCTCTGAGGGCTGCCTCCAGCTTGCTGGCCGTGAGGGGGTCGGCAGAACATGCTTCTGTGGTAGTGAACGGTGACAACCCGCTCTCTCATCTGCCTCTAGGCTTTCTCTGCAATAAACTGTATGCCCCAAAGCAGCGCTGGGTCCCCAGGAGGGAACCGTGAGTGTGCAGAGGGAATGGGCCACCGGCTCCTCGGAGAAGCTCAGATCCAGACCACTAGGCTCTGCAGACTGCTCAGCGGACACATGTCCTGTACTATGAAGACAGTGCCTGTGATGGCTGGGTTACGGCAACCTGACACAAGCTGAAGTCATCTGAAAGGAGGAAGCCTCAATGGAAAAAGACTTCCATGAGATATGCTGTAGGGCATTTTCTTAATTAGCGACTAAAGGGGGAGGGCACAGTCCATTGTGGGTGGGGCCATCCTCAGCCTGGTGGTCCTGGGTTTTACAAGAAAGCAGGCTGAGCAAGCCAAGAGGACCATGCCAGTAAGCAGCTCCCCCCCTCCATGACCTCTGCATCAGCTCCTGCCTCCAGGTTCCTGCCCTGTTCGTGCCCTCACTGCTTGTGATGAACAGTGATGTGGAGCTGTGAGTGAAATAAACCCTTTCCTCCCCAAGTTGCTTTGGCTATGGTGTTTCAACAATAGAAACCCTAACTAGGACAATGACCTTCTGAAGGTCACACAGTCCCTCCGTAAGTATGTAACAAGACACCTAGAAAAAGCTTTGGGAGACTTTCATCCTCCCACACTGCCAGCTGGCCACATCCTCCCGGACTGGGAATCCACAGGCCTCATTCTAAGCTCTGCTCTGTTGCTGGGGCTGCAGAAGTCAACAGAGACTGCCCAGCCCACACTCTCTCCTCCTTTTTCTTTTTCTTTTCTTTTCTTTTTTTTGAACAGGGGTGGTTTCAAGACAGAGTTTCTCTGTGTAGCCTTGGAGCCTATCCTGGAACTCGCTCTGTAGACCAGCCCAGCCTCGAACTCACAGAGATCTGCCTGCCTCCCGAGTGCTGGGATTAGAGGTGTGCACCACCACTTACTCCCTCTCCTGTTTCTACAGGACTTGCTGACCACCGGGACCTTCCTTCCTTTGAAGTTAGGAGCGGGCAGGCTGAAGTTCTTCCAGAGCATCCTCTGACCTGTCCATGTCATTAGTAGACTTGGTACTCAGTCAGAGCCCAAGGATGCTGGCACTCCCTCTTTTCTCTGGAGTTTGGACCAGCAAACAAAAGGGATGGGAGAGTGGCTCAGATTTCCTCGTGGCCTGAGTCCTAGAACTCAGTTACTGAGCCAGAAGGGCACACAGATCCCTCAGGTACCCTCTTCACTGTCCTGGAAGCACCCATCCTCTATCCCTGGGCCAGAACTCTATTCTGTATGTTGTGGAAAATTACTTTAAGGTGTGCTACATTTATTTATGCTATGAGATATTTGTTTAATGGTGCATTCTTTTATGCTGCATTTGTTTAACTCTGTGAGGCTGTGTTACTTTGCCTGTCTAAAACACCTGATGGTCTAATACAGAGCTGAATGACCAATAACAAGGCAGGAGAGAAAGGATAGGCGGGGCTGACAGGCAGAGAGAAGGAGAAATCCTGGAGGAGAAAAGGGGGGAGGAACAAGATAGAACAGGAGAGTAAGACATGAGGGGCCAGCCATCCAGCCACCCGGCCACCCAGTCAGCCACGGAGAGTGAAAGTAAGATATACAGAAGTAAGAAAAGAAAAAAGTCCAAAGGCAAAAAGGTAGTTGGAATAATTTAAGAAAAGTTGGCAAGAAACAAGCTAAGCTGAGGCCGGGCATTCATAAGAAAGAAGAAGCCTCTGTGTGTAATTATTTGGGAGCTGGGAAGCGGGGGCAGCCCCCAAAGAGCAAAGAGTAAAATGTAAACTAAACCCAATAGCATTTATAGGTAAGGCTCTGTCTTCCCCACTGGTACCCACTGTCTGCTCAGAGCTTGTGTTCATCCTTTCCCAGCAGATGCAGGTGAACCCCAGCAACCGGGGCTACTTGGTGCTCCTGAATGTCTTCTCTCACAAACAGTCAGAATACTGAAACAGGACACTGCATCTCTCTCTCTCTCTCTCTCTCTCTCTCTCTCTCTCTCTCTCTCTCTCTCTCTCTCTCTCTCTCTCTCTCTCTCTCTCTCTCTCTCTCGTTTTTTGAGACAGGGTTTCTCTGTGGTTTTGGAGTCTGTCCTGGAACTAGCTCTTGTAGACCAGGTTGGTCTTGAATTCACAGAGATCTGCCTGCCTCTGCCTCCTGAGTGCTGGGACTAAAGGCATGCACCACCACCTCCTGGTGGAGATCATAATCTTTTTTTTTTTGTGGTTTTTTGAGACAGGGTTTCTCTGTATTGTTTTGGAGACTGTCCTGGAACTTGCTTTGTAGACCAGGCTGGCCTCGAACTCACAGAGATCCGCCTGCCTCTGCCTCCCGAGTGGAGATCATAATCTTATAAGCAGAAAATGCTCTCCAATTTCTACTTAATAAGAAACTCTAAACTAGTGACTATGATAAAGTTGCAGGGCATAAGAGCACTGCAATTCTATCTGCATGCACCAGCAATGAACAGTGTGAAAATGAAGTTAAGAAAATAATTTAAGATAGTATCATTCGTCAATACTACAGCACTTAGGAACAATCCCATCGCGCTTGCTCGTTTACGGTGTGGGTGAGGTGTGTGCTACAGCCCAGGAGGAAGTCAGAGGCAACCACAGGAGTCGGTTCTCTCCTTCCACCATGTGGGGCCTGGGGACAGAACTCACGCCTTACACTTTAATCACTCAAGGAAAGAAAAAGCTGAAGTCACCTGACCTTGGTGTCACATGCCTTTAATTCCAGCACTCAGGAGGCAGAGGCAGGTGGATCCCTTTGAGTTCTGAACAGCCTGGTCTACAGAGCGAGCTCCAGGGCAACCAGGGCTACACAGAGAAATCCTGTCCTGGAAAAACAAAAAACAAGTTGAAGTCTGTTACCCACTCGACCCACCCCTTCTCAGTGATGGGTTAAATAAACCCAGGGCACAAGAAGCCAGGGGCAGCCGGGTGTTGGTGGCGCACGCCTTTAATCCCAGCACTCGGGAGGCAGAGGCAGGCGGATCTCTGTGAGTTTGAGAGCAGCCTGGACTACCAAGCGAGTTCCAGGACAGCCTCCAAAGCCACAGAGAAACCCTGTCTCAAAAAACCAAAAAAAAAAAAAAAAAAAGCCAGGGGCTAGATTACCACTGAGCTGCATCTCCAGCTTACCTCATCCTGGGAGATAGGGTCTCACTCTGCAGCCAGCCCAGGCTGGCCTCAAACTCACACTCACAGCCCCTCCATCTCCGCCTCCTGAGTGCTGGACATGGCCGGCAAAGCTTCCAGGCGGGGCTGCTCCACCCAGGGGAGGATCGGCAGGAGAGGCAGACGCTAGCCAGAGATAAGAAGGTGGAGAAATCCGAGCCCTCCCTGTACGCCTCCCACCCTTTCTGATGGCCACAATGAAACAGGGCCAGTGTCCTGTCTTCCAGGCAGCTGTGGTCATCTTCAGCGCTCTTAGCACCGTGGCCTCATGAAGCCCAGGCTAACCTTGAACTCACCGTGTAGGCCAGGATGACTTTCACCTTCTGACCCTCCTACTAGTTCCCAAGTGCTGAGAGTACAGTTGCGTATCCCACAGCCAGTTTTGTGAGGTACTGGGGATCAAGCCAAGGCCTCGGGAATGCTAGGAAAAGTCTACAACCAGGTTATGTCCCCAGTGCCATTAATCTGATCTGTTCCTCGTGGTGTACATGCTGTGTGACCAGAGA